GTACCGGGACCCGGTTGACAATACAGAGTCAAGAACGCCGGAAATGCGGGAGGGCGCAGACGGCTGCCGCGACAAACACTCAACACGCGTACTAACAACACGTCTCGCTAGGTGGGCTCGCGAGAGGGAGCGCCACAAAGGCCACATTAAGGAGCCATTTAATCTGATTCTCAGCCGCAGACAGCCAATGGACACAACAAGACACACTGGACCGACTGCGGTGTCCGAGTTAACTGGCCAGCTGGCAACCCTCCAATCCACGGCTTTCAGCGCACCGCGATAGATTCAAGCGCATCAGATTCAGTTCAGTTCAGTTTATTAGGGGAATATAGGTAAATACCTTGAAATTCCTCTTTGTACATAGCTATCACGCAGAACATGTGGCGTTGCCAGTAATGGAACCTGCGGTAGGGGGGCAGACAGTAAAAAAACTCCTTAGGCATCATTCATAAGTGAAGGAAGAAACGCGCCGAGGGTCGACCTCACCCTCTCCCTCCAACGCCAGCTGTCGGCGGTCTGAGGTGGGATGGGCACTTGCACAAATGCCCTACCATGCTAATCCCCTAATGGTACACAGCAGTGAAGAAAAGCATCGGCGACTACTCACTTCTTCCGAGTAAGGCAATCACATGTGGTGATGCCAGTTAACATGGGTCAACAACTAAGTTTAAGTGAGCAAACAGAACAGACAGTGAAAAAAGTCCAAAGGCGTGGCTCAAAATTCGAAAGACGGAAAGTCATTTGGGGGGGATTTTTAGGAGCAAAAAGGTGTCGCTCATGGGAGGAAAGTATGCGCAGCAAGATAGGACCGGCGAGCTACTGAGAAAGTTTGCGACAAGCCAGGGGAAGCAACCCACAGTCAGACACTAATCTGATAAAGGAAGTCGAAGCATCCGAGGTCATGATTATGGGCAACATTAACGCTCCACATATAGACTGGAATCTGAGTTCGGCGCCCGGCTCAGAAGCAACTTTTGATCATTGACTCCTACGCACAGTATAAAAATCCTTCCTAACACAAGACTTCTTATATCCCACAAGATTACGCGAAGGGCAACTAGCCAATTGTACTGACAAAAGCACCTGACAGCGCAGACGTCGCAAGTCCGAGTCCCGACCAACTCAAAAATACAAATTTGTCGAGGAAAGGCAAGTGAGCCTCGCGGACAAGCTGAAACAGGCGAATCGAGAGGGATTGCCGACAATGAGAACGGAGACA